TTTAAAAGTTGGCAGTGAGTATAAGAGGCATTGAGCATTGGGTATGATTGTTTCTGCCTTGCGTTGTGTACATGTGGATTTGAGCCTCTTCGTTTAGATATGAAATATCATTTCTATAGGTGTCCGTGTATAGGCTCATCTACATATTCGCATCTTAATTTAGTGCATTGCGTAGGTAGGAATGCTAGTGAGTTCCCCGCCAAGAACCGCCTTCAGCCTTTTCCGGCCGACTCCCTCGTTTCTCCCCTCCAACAACCAGATCGAACTGTCCACCGCAGTCAATGCCACCAAATCTGCGCGGCTCATTGCCGAAATCTTTATCGCGTCCTCTGGACAGCGGGGGAGTCTTTTACTGTCCCTCCTGCTCAACTTGGCGACGAACCATCTCAACGCGTCGGAGAACCTATCGCTCCGGAACCAGCACGACCTCCAGCGGCATTATCCCGCCAGGTCGATACGGGGAATTGAATATTCAACGACAAACGTTTACCACATCAGCCGCGATTAACGCGGGCAAGAATGTACCACCGCGGTTTAAGGAATTGTATGCGGCGTTGAATCGGATTGGGGATGTTGCGACGGACCGGGTGAATTTGAGTCGGTTGCAATTGGCTCTGAGGGGGTTGGAGTCGGAGGAGCCGCTTGTACGGGTTGCTGGTGAGTTTATCTCTCACCTAAGCGTTGGAAGGAGGATGATATTAATCGTGATCTGCAGTACTCGGATTAAACGATACCAATGCTGCGCGCAGACTTGTCCGGTTGTTGCTTTCCGATCCGCTATCGTCGAGGGAGGATTGGGAGGACATGCTGGAGGGATATGAGGCTGATACTTCGCGGGGGTTACTGATACGGTATTGTCATCCTACTTCTTATCTTGGTTGTTTAATTGCTAACGGAGCATAAGATACGGCGAAGAATGCCAGAACATCCCGAACAACCTCCTTCCCACGATTTCCATTCCCTCGCAGCTATTGAAGAAAGCCAACATGGAGATCCTGGTTTCTAATCTAGGCGCAGAGGCGGACTCATCAGTGGCCCAGTTCACAGCAGACACATTCCTCGTCCCGACAGTGACCATCCGCACTTCGCATTCCGGTCGACACAATGTCGTACGCTACCCGGTTCACAAGAGCATCGTATGTGGGAGCGGCATGGAGGACCTAGTTTCATATAGCGGCCTGATTACGCGGTCCGATTTGAAGAGAGAAAAGAAGTCTGTCTACGGAGCGATTGAGATGGAAGTTTCGGACAAGGAAAGGAGGAATGACCGGTTCGCTTTTGTGGATATCAAACAGGCTGAGGAGTCTTTGAGCAAGTTCCGCGAGTCTGTGCAAAACGCATCACTCTACGAGCGCGGGTGGAACAGCAGTGGCGTGCAACCGGTTGTTGATTGGTTGACGTCCATGCGGGAAAGCGGAGAAAGTCTGGATCCATCATTGAAAACGTTGATTCTGTCCTTGCTTGATGCAGCAGAAGAGGGCGTCCTTGCCAAGGAAGCCTGGAAGGCTCAGGAACAGCAATCAGCCAGTGTCTCCGAGGAAGTCCGAACGGAGCTGGACCGATCTGTTGGTTTGTGGGCGGAGAGAGCGCACTCAGAGCTCCGGAGTTCTTTGGAAGAGGGCTTCGCTAGTAAGCGGTGGAGAGGTCTGGCGTGGTGGAAGCTGTTCTTGCGCGTGGATGATGTGAGCATGCTCACATCTGAAATCTTGGAGAGACGGTATCTGCAGGGTGCTGAGAAGGAGGTCATTTGGACGGCGGGGCAGCTCCAGCAGGCAGGCCTGATGGACGACTTGGGCCTTTCTGAACCATCAGAGGTTAAAGGAGAGCAGCAAGCACTCGTGGAACAGACATCTCCACCCGTGCCCTGGCCGGTACAGATCTCCACTAGCCGCACGCGATTACTTAACACAACCGTACCGGCCCTGCAGGCGCTGGCACAACGGTTGGTGCTGTTCAGCTTGTCGACGACGTCGCTGACGTCTGCACTGTCGGGGTTGACTTATTTCTCGTTCCCTACGGCGTCTGTCTACGAGACGTGCACATTGGCAGCGGTGGGACTGGTGTACTCGCTGCGCCGACAACAGACCAAATGGGAACGCGCGCGCGAATTCTGGGAGGACGAAGTTCGGGAAGAGGGCCGGACGGCTTTGCGATCGACAGAGGAGCAGTTGCAAACACTGGTGCAGGAAGGTGGTCGACCTGCTATCGAGAGCACTGAAGACGAAGCGCGCGAAACTATTGAACAGGCGCGGAAAGCCGTGGAGGATATGGATGTCAAATCTACACCCCCCTAGACTATTATGTACAGAAAAAGCAAGAGACAGGATGTAGTAATGTACAATAAAGAACAATTGATCAGGTCAATTCCACACTCCCCTCAGGAACACCCTGCCTACTGCGCAACCTCCGCGCAAAAAATTGCATAACGGGCAACATCTCATCGCGACTCCGCGGCATCGTATCACCCTTCCTTGCATACCGATGCCCCTCCACAAACTCAAACAACTGCTTCGTACGCTGCACAGCATTATCCGTAACAGCCGGTGAATCCCTCCCCGAAACCAACAACACCGGTGTCCGATTCTTCGCCGCCACCATCGTACTCCCAGACAACGGATACGGCGCTCCCACCGAAATCACCCCCGATAACCACCTATCCCCCCCCTCTGAAGACAATCCCAACTCCTTAGCAACGCTCAACCCAAGCATCCCCCCTTGCCCAAGCCCAAGCACCAAAATCTCCCTCAACCGATACCCGCACTTCCCCACAAGAACCCCCTTCACCACATCCTCCGTAATCGTCTTCATCACCCTCCCAAACCCAGCATCCATATCCAGTCCGCCGGCATTATCGAATGTTACGTCGTCACCCCAGTGGAAGCCGGGTAGGTCGAAGGGGAGCGGGTGCGGGGCTTGGAGGGTTAGGACGGTGGTTTCGGGGAGGTTCAGGGCGCGGGCTAGTTGCGTGAAGGAAGGGGCGGAGTCGCCGAGGCCGTGAAGGAGGAGGAGGATGTTGGGTGTTGGTGGGGATTGGGAGGAGGATGCGGAGGATTGGGGAGGAGTGATTGTGATAGTGAGGTGGGAGGGGAAGTCGGAGAGGTGAGGGGTCTTGGTGGGCATCTTCCTTCTTTCGGGGTTCGTAGTCGCCGGCAAGTAGGATTATATATTCGATCGAGTATGAGGATAGGTCTCATTTGCTGCTTGAGTTCGCTTGCCCAGGATTACTATTGTGATACATTTCTGCGGAAACCTCGAGACTTGCCCTTTCCGCTTTCGGTTCGACTTCACGCCGCTTTTTGCTCCCTGAGCAGCCCGGAGCGTATCCAGACCAGGGTGGTGTGTGCCCGAAGCGATCAGGGACCCGCGCTGGAGTGACCTTAGAGTGATCCCAAATTGCTCCAAGATCGTACCCTGATCGCTCAGGCTACGATCACTTGCATCCTGGTAAGGGAGCCAAATAAAACGTGCAAAGCCAAGCCTGAAATCTTACCTCACAAAACTGACCGCTTTGATTTAGTAGTGCCATAATATAGCAAAACATTCTATCCAACAACTGTGGTCCACTTTACAAGTAATAATTACTATCCATCACTGCCCTGTGAGGTTACAACCAGTGCAAATTGTGCTATTCAGCCTCATTCTCATGAAATGTTCTGAACTTGTGCCATGTATGTACATATTTCTTAATGACCACTCTATAGTAACCAGGACTGACGACAGTGTATTCAAGGAACCCAGTTCTCCATAAGAGGCATTTAGGACTTCCTGGGAGTTACAAAATAAGCCATACATGTATGCAAGCACAATCTGTTGATCTGACACTCTCCATTGTGAATCCCTGAGAATATAACTCTGCCTCAGCATGGGCTGTCTTGTACTCATCACACTCAGCCATGAGATCATCTATCTAGTTCTCTTTGTCCTCTAGCCAGGATTTGTGTTTCTGGAGCGGTGGAGCTCAGTATGAAGGGTCTGGACAAGCTCTTCATCCATCTGCTTGCAGTATTCATTCTTGGGATCGATCATATGGTTGAAGATGTCGGCAACATAGTCAAACAGTTTACTGGAGGTGGTCATGGCACCGAACCAGTAATTCTTTATGGGTGATAGTCTTTCAACCCTGTTCTTTCATGTCCAGAATCACATGTTGACTCAGGTTTGTTCAGTGGTGTCTCATGCCATCTTGACTGATTCAGCCCGTTCATTCGTTCATCTGTTCATTCATTTTGTTTGTTGGGGGGCTTTCTATTACAAGTGTATTGACCTCTCTGATGGAGTCCTAGCTGTATGCACTAAAGAGGGGCTGTAAAGAAAATAATAAGAATGATGTTAGAACTATGTGATGGTCCCTCATGCAATAACGATTTATTGGCAGACTATCTAGCGAAATTCTAACACGAGGCAAAGGAAAAAGTCTGCCGGCGACGGGCTCTCTAGAGTGTGAGAGAGGTTCATGCCCTACGTCAACAGACCAAGCCAATAAACAATGCCACACAACTACCGAGAGTCCATGCTCCGTGACATGCCAGGCTTAGTGCATAACTATACTCTGTAAATAACAGGAGCCTGCTCGACTTACATACGGATTCTACCCCTTTCTTTTGAAATCCTTGGGTCTTTCGATTGAAATAGACTCGTCGATATTAGGATCTGCTTAAGTCTCTGAATCTCTAAGCCTAAACCTCCGCACATTACCCATCACGTACCCGCGGCAATCGGTAGCGGCCAGCGGCTAGCGGGTTGAGATAAAATGAAGATCGCGGAAATTCTTGGATCGAGCTATTGAAAGCTTCCTAATTTCACACAACATTATGCTCCCGCCTATTGGCTTTGTGTTGGAATTTCCGAGCTTAAATCCCCGCAGAGTCACCCCAGAGTCCATCTCGGCAAGCAATGGTGGCAAGCAGCTACGTGCAAAATGGAGATTGTACGCCAACAAAGTTCTCTTCATCAACCAGAGTTTCTCATTCCCCATACGAAACGACGATGAACTGTTTCCCGGGGAAAAGGTATATAAACATCCACAAACGTCGACTCGTTGAGGTTCGTGGAAAGGTTGTCTTCTCAATAATTTATGCAACGTTTATATTGGAGCAAAATTCTATAAATTATGGCTTTGCTGTTTGCCCTACGTGTGCTGGTGGCTTTCGCTATTCCGCTCGTGAATGGCCTTTTAGGGCCCGCCCCAGAAACCGTACTTGACTACGGCACCTTCAAAGGCTCAACAAGTATTCAAGGTGTTGATAGCTTTCTCGGGATTCCATTTGGCAAGGCAGGCCGCCTTGAGAATCCGACTCTCATCGGTGCTACCGAAAAATTAAATGGGGTCCAGGACGCTACCAAGTATGGAATTTCGTGCCCTCAACAGCAGTTGATAGCGTCACCCTTGAGCGGCGACAATTCTGAACTTGGAGGACTACTCGGAGCTGTCCAGCAACTCGCATTCACTGCTGTGCCAATTGAGAACCAGGGAGAGGAATGCCTAACTATCAACGTGCAACTGCCTTCGGGTATCAATTCTACTGAAGGTCTGCCGGTGTTGTTTTGGATTCATGGAGGCGGCTTCGAGTTTGGATCTAGTGCAGCCCTAGGTGCTGAGACAACGGCTGTCCAAGTATGGCATGACACCCTCTTACTCCAAGAGCAGTGCTAATTAAGACATCAAAGGGATTGATCTATCAGGGAGCTAACATTGTTAAACGATCCATGGACATGGGACAACCTATCATCTTTGTCTCGGCCAATCATCGCCTCAATGCATTTGGTACCCTCGCATCTCAAGAGATCACTGATGCCGGCATTTCCAATCTTCTTCTCAAGGACCAACGGTGGGTTATTATGTTCCGATTGGAGTCAAGGTCTTCTCAACTAACGAGATGGGCGTTAGTGTCGCCATGCAATGGGTCCAGAAATACATTCGCCAGTTTGGTGGCGATCCGTCCAGGGTTACTCTCTTCGGCGAAAGTGCTGGCTCCCTCGCGATCGCTACGCACATGGTCCTGAACGATGGCGATACCGAAGGCCTTTTCAGTTCCGCAATCATGGCCTCCGGTAGTATTATGAAACTCAAGGACTATCGCCACGCCCAAAAAGTCTTCGACTTTATGGCCAATAACTCTGGATGTGGCTCTGCCTCCGACAAGGTCGATTGTCTGCGCAAGGCTAGCTACAACCATATTTACAATGCTGTGCAACGACTTCCAACTTTCCTATCATACGAAAGCACCTCAGTGCCGTGGTATCCGCGCCCTGATGGCAAATATCTCACTGACTCGCCTCATAAGCTTCTACGTCAAGGCAAAGTCGCTAAAATTCCCTATATTATTAGCGACATGAAGGATGAAGGAACCCTTTTCAGCCTTGTGCCTGCCTTGAATATCACTACTGACGAAGACTTCCAAAGGTTCTTTCATGACGTATTTTTCCAAAATCTAACACCTCAGCAAGTCAAGGCGTTTACAGACCAGTATTCTGCAGACCCAGCAGAGGGCTCACCTTTCGATACTGGTTCCGCAAACCAGCTGGGGCCGCAGTACAAGCGACTATCTGCAGCGATTGGTGATTACACTGTTAGTGTTTTTCTTATTCTACCCTCCCAAATTATTGTTGTCTAACTGGTTCCAAGTTCCAAGCCGGTCGTCGTGATCTTCTCCAGCATACCTACTCCCAGCAGAAGGTTTACACCTGTCTCATCGAACAGAGCCTACCTGTGCTGGGCCAAATCGGCGCACTGTCCGGACTGACGAATCTACCTCTTCTGGGTTCTTTTCATGTCAGTGATGTTCTTCTGAACAGCTTCGGACTTCTTCCCCCACAGCTTTCGACAAACTCACTGAATCTCATGTCGACTTATATTGCATTTGTCAATAGCGAGGACCCGAACAACCACGGCTTGAAAGACCTACCTCAGTGGCCAACCTGGAATCCCGAAGAGAAGGCGATGTTTGAGCATCGAGAGTCCGGACCGCGGATTATCAAGGACGATTTCAGGGAGAAGCAGATGGACTTTATTAATAATAATGCCGATACATACACATGCTAAGGGTAGCTAATGGAAATCGTTGAGTAACTGAGGATCTATCTATCTCAATATTCCAAAGGAAACGTGTCAGTTTATACTTGGAACTATCGTAATAACTAGGGATCGTTGGAAAGAGGCCGGCGCGCTAGTCAGGCCGAAGGGCATCACAAGAGATTTAAGTAGTCTCAGCGTTGTACAGAAGACAGTCAGGTAGCCAAGCCCATCCTTAATCTCCAGGGTGTTAATTGATAAAGACCGACTATGGTTGGTAGAGAGAAAAGAGGAGTTGGCACTGCGGGCAATACTAACTCAACCAAACATAGCAAAAGGCTTACTAACCTAGACAAGACAATCACTGTTTACTCTAGCGTACACAACTCTTAGGACAGTACACTTGCTGCTAGCAAGTACCCATACAAAAAGAAAGAAAAAAAAAAAAAAAAAAGATCGATTCAATTTGTATGGCTCCTTCTTTCCCAAATATTGTGACTGCTCAAAAGCTCAATGCCGATTCATGTTGTTGATATCGACAAAAACGGCCATGCGAACAAACAAAGAGAGCACTTGGCGCGGCCACAGAACCCATGGATGAAAACTCCTTTTTCCTATAGATAGACTCCTTTTCTTCTTTACTCTCCAGATTCGATATTCTCGTCAATGGCTACAACAGTTTCGATAGGAATTCAGTTCGTTATTATCTACTCTTCCGAGCCCGTGACAGACACTATCATTGAATGCATCAGCTCGAAGGGAATCCCTATACCGCCCATGATTATCTTTAAAAGGAAAGGAATAACAGGCTGCTTGGCATCAGGGACTCGATCTTCATACAGATACAGGTTGGAAGCTTGCACTAAGTCAGAATTGCTGGACAACAGATGAAATAGGCCTCCACTGGCTAAATGAGTTGTTTGAACCTCATTCTAAGCAGAATTCATCTGGTGCAAAGCGGTTGCTTATCCTTGATGGTCATTCTAGTCATATGACTGCAGAATTTGATGATTTCTGCAAGGATAATGCAATCATCTGTCTTTATACGCCTTCACATACATCTCATCTCCTTTAACCACTGGATGTTAGTGTTTTTGGGCCACTCAAATGTGCGTACGGCAACTTGGTTGAGGGGATGATGGCTGCTGGAAACAACCACATTGATGAGGACTTCTTGCATTTATATTCTGTAACGGCTCAGCCCAGCGCCTTCATCAGCAAACATCATCAACACGGCAAACAATACCATGGAAGCAATCAAGACAAACAAGCTGCTTAGCGAGACCACACACAACCATATGGGGCTTCTTCATGTAAATAGACTTGCCTCTATTTTTCTTTTCTTCTCCAGATTCGATATTCTGGTCGATGGCTACTAGTTGGTTTAGATAGGAATATCAATTCGTTAATATCTCCTAGCTATTGAGCCCGTGACATATTCCCTTGCACGCAAAGCAGTCTCTACCCAAAAGAATATATATGCATTGCATTTGCAGGAGCTAGTCTTAAACGACTTGATAAAGATTAGGTTCTTGAGAAAATCAGCCTTCAACTTTGTACGCCAATACCACATTTTATTGAAGTTGAAGGCTCAATCTCTGCTTTCCAAACACCCCAGAATATTCGTCAGCTTGATCACAAAATCCAAAGCTTACAGAAAAACCTTAAGAAAACACTTTCTAGCAGCACAATCTCTCATATTCAACATCTTGAAAGGACTGCACAGATGGCAATGAATACAAACCTTCCTCAACAAGAAATTAAAGTTCTACAGACTGAGAACGAGTAAAAAATAAAGAAGAAGATAAGGAGATAGATTGTATTAGGAAATGATATTATTTTATTTGTATAGGAAGGTCCAGATTGCATTCAGCAGCTTGATTGCAGCTGAGGACCAGAATGAGGGACAGACATCTATGCCTCGCCAGCGTGCTCCACCACGCTGCAGTGGCTGCAGGGCTATTGGACATATTGTAAGGAGTTGTCCTAGTGAGTAGCTATTTGTTTCATCCTTATATAGTCGAATCTAATGGTGTTGGTGGTTGCGGCGGGAATTCGTCGCTCGGGGTTGATTACATTAGTGTGAAGTTCCAGAGTTTCATGAGAACAGGCTGAGTAGCAGAATTGGCACTGGTTCTTAACATCATCCCCGGTGATAGGAAGTAGTCATTACCTGTAAAGTGGACTACAATTGTAAAATGTGGGCTTTTTGTTATTCTATGGCACCACTAAACCAAAGTGTCGGTTTAGTTTGGTAAGATTGTAGGCTTAGCCTTGCACGTTTTATCTGGCTCCCTTATCGGGGTGCAGCCTGAGCAATCAATGTATGCTCCAGGATTGTTCCCGGGCCACTCCAGGATCACTCCGGCACAGTTTGCTGACCGCTCCGGGCTGCTCAGGGAGCAAAAAGCGGCGTGAAATAGGACCGAAAACGTAAAGGACAAGCCTCGAGATTTCTGCAGAAATGTATCACAATAGCTGATAAGAATCTTGAATGAAACTGATTAGCAGAAACGGTATGTATGGTATGTTATTCTGCCGCCTGCCACAGCTATTCCTGATCTATTAACCCCCCTCCTTCACTATTACAACTTCTCGGCGCATTCTTCCTAGGCATTCACTGGGCTAGCCAAATTCAAATCATTTAGTCTAACAAGTCGATGCACTGTAGGTAAGCAGATAACATGCCCGCGTCATCGTCAACCGGCGTGATGGCTCGCAGACAACTTATGTGACATTGGACGTGTGAGCGTGTCACTACCTCTTTCAATACGCGTCGACTTAAACTCTATTTTAAGCAGAGTGTATTCTTGTCGAGAGCTGGCTTGCTGATTTGCCCTTCGACACAAATACGCCTGTTCAACCAAGCCCCTTCATAGAGATTAAGAGACCTATATATTGTGGCTAAGGCACGGGCTTTTTATGATATAATATCGAACGCCTGCTGCGTGGTTCGGATACAGATAAGCGGTTGACAGACTGCCCATGTCTATACTTCACAATGGTGATCACAGTAGGTTATTCGAAAGGCTGGCTACAAACCCTAATTTGAACCAGGCGACTCTGCCCATCAGGAGTCGCAGCTCATGCACTCGATGGATGCACTATTCATGCTCTGCTCTACTTCCCACTACATATACAGCGTGTTTGAGTACAGCAGCATATGTACCGTGTGGGCTACAGGGTCAGTGTGTAATACCTCAGCCATGACGCATTTAGATGCTATGGGCAGGTTTTAAGGTCTGCATGGCTCGAAATAGCACTTCACATGTGATACTCTGGCTGATTGGACACTAGGACCAGATAAATAATAAGCGGCCCTGGTCCTGGTTAGCGTTCTCGATGATCAGAGCTCACCCCCAAATTTACTAGACTCATTTGAGCAGAGTGTTCCTTGGCCACAGGAATTACAAAAGGTGTCCACATAAATTGTTCAGGTCAGTGGAGTTTCTGGGTCGCCAATATGCATCATCAATATACGATCCCATGGCTTTCTCTACACTGGCAATGTCTGGCAATGAAAGTTTATCAAGGACGAAACATAGTATGTACTTCTGCAGGGAAATGGTAGAGACGACAACGGTGATTAGGGCGGCCATTCTTGAATCTCTTTTGTCGTGTATATGGCTTTGTTGACTGGAGATTGAATCTTTTTATCATTACCTGAATCAGCTAGATGCTAGTAGCCTTTGGTTAGATGGCAGGGACCGTTGATCTTACCCCTGCACTTTGCACTTATGGGCATACCATCCACTTCGCTTCTTTCGGTACCACACCCCCATTCTTCATATTTCCGACGCAGAATGGACAGGATAGTCCCCATGTCGGTCTTTGCAATGCGACCCCCCCAAAAAGACTCTATGGTGAGAAAGTGAATTTCCTTCAGCGGGGGTGCACCTGATAGCCAACCAGGCCTTCACATTCTGCGGGATCTAGTGATGATTTAGGGAGAGTAGACATTACAAGATGGCACTTTCCCTTAACCACTTCCTCTCACCAACAAAACCCTCTTCACTATTCTACGGAACTGCAAGCGTGGGATAATAATCCCAGTGGTAGAATGCCACGTCTGATAATTGGCATTTCTGAGTGCCGGGGTTGAAGAGAACTAATTGCCATTCAAGAGTCAACTAACGAAGATAGACATGATTATCGTGAAGCATACTCAGAGGATACAGAAGCGTACCAATAAGGAGGATACCGAGACCGCCCATTAGTCAGTCCATGGGCAGTAAGAACACTAGGCGGAAGATTGGCCTTATTCACTCCTGCTACAGACCATCCTATCCCCGACGCAATCCCGAAATCGTAGCCACAGATGTAGCAGACAGAGCCAACCGGTTCAAACGCATCAGATATATTTTCGTCATAAAGGTGATAGTCATGTTATCTGCAAAGTTAGAGTCACCGTACTCTAAGTCCGAATCCTCCGTCGTCGTGTTGTCTCAGGGCAGAAGATCTAGAGACCCCACGATTCAACCCTCTTTACTAAGGACCGTATGCAGATGACTCGGGATGATAACGTATACAGACCACTCCCATCATCACCAGCATTGCGCCCTACCATCTAGATATCAACAAATTCCCGATCCAGTAACCCCACCAAGACCACCACAACCCCACAACTGAGCCCGATCGATGCGCCACAACGAAAATAGACACTGAGCACGTAGCGATTTACGTAAATTGTCCTATGCTCACCAGCCTCACTCCTACTGAAGATGAGGGGAAACAGATCGATTGTTTTATTTTTACTTTGTAGGGCACCGATCGAGGCGGTATACATAGAGATCATCAATTGAGTTTCGTATTTGTTGCTGCCTGGTATTGACCATCCAGTAAGATCCACTAAGATCGAGGGAAAAGATGGAGCATTATGAGACAATTTAACATCAGCCACACACCGCCACGTTATGGTACGGAATAGTATTGTATGGTATTGGTACGTTCCTGATCGGTAACATTCGGGTCTCGGAGAGACTCGTAAGATTTGCTTTGGACATACTTTGAGACGGGATGGCTTGTATTGTAACCTGGGAAAGCATTCATTTGACTGTCATCCATACCATTGATTCTGTAGTACAGATATCTACATCTCTACTCCGTACTCTATTCTATCGCCAAGCTGCATACGTTGGCCAAGTCGTAGGGCAGAGACAAGCCTTTATCCGCGTCTTGGCTACGGTAAGGCTGATCCACCACATGCCGACACCGATCATACAATAGACCTCGGAGATACAATACAGAGTATTTACAGGGGTACACACACTCAACTCCATACAGCTCCATACAGACCCATGGTACTCTATACAGATACTCGCCCCGACCCCCATTCTCACCAAACGTGTCCAATAACAACCGCCGATTGGAGTAGTGTAGAGGACTCAGCTGAAGGCGTGATGTGTCCCCAGTTAGTCTAAGCCATCTGGATCACAGCTGAGGACTCCGTATGATGGTGGGGCAATGGGACACCTGTACTCCTGCTCAGTGATATAAAGAGGGGTCCCCTCTGCTGTCTTCTTCTAGATTCAATCACTCACTCGCAACTCAATCTCTTGATCTCTATCTTTTCTATCTATCTCTCTTTATACACACATATCCAACACAATGGCTTGGGGCTGGGGTATGTTCACGCCTGTCTCTTCCATCCCACTTTGAACGAAGCTAACAAAGCTACACAGGCGAATCCGACGAGGCTCACCGTCAGGTGTACGAAGACGAGAACAAGCACGAGAGCCACCTCTCCCACGAGGTTCTCGCCGGTGCCGCCTCGTTCGCCGGTATGAAGGCTTTTGAGGACCACCAGCGCAAGCAAGGTACGTTTTCTTTCCCCTTCTCCCCTATACCCCTCTAACCCCACGTACCCCTCTTATCTATCTCTCACCACCACTACCCCTCACCAAGCAACATAGCGCTAACACAACTTTCCTCCACAGGCAAGACCGTCTCCCACTCCACCGCCAAGGAGCTCCTCGCCGGTCTCGCCGGCGCCGAGATCGACAAGCTCGCTGAGACCAAGGGTCTCGACGAGGCCGACAAGATCAAGGCCCACCACCACGCTAAGAAGAACGCTGAGCACATGTACGATGAGCACTACGTTCAGGGGCATGGTGCTGAGGAGTACAACCCCGGTCAATACCAGCCTCACAACAGCTTCTCTAGCCGCGGCTGGTAGATTTGAGGTTTATTAGGATTTTTTTATGATACCTCTGTATATAAATATGTCTATGAGGATATGAATGGATCAGACTTGATAAATATTATGAGGCCGGGCTGTGTATTCTGCATACGTTGCTATGGTGGTAAATTCAGTTCGTGCGGTTTCTATCATTCGATGGTGGCTTCTGAGGTGGTTAATATGGCTTCCCGCAGCTTAAACGGTCCGTATATGCGCATTTGTCGCTGACCTTTGCGATGTAAATTAGAAAACTTGATAGCGATCGAGACGCATTCATGATGACAAACTTCTGTCAAGAGAAGTCCTATTAATTAAGGTCCCGCCCCGTAGAGCGCTGGTAGCCCCTACCTGGCTCTCAGATGACTGTATTAAGCTCTCCTGAGGCTTCCTGGTCAGCGTAATATATCATGTCAGCACCTAAGGAATGGACTATGGAGTTAACAGATCCATACAGATGTCATCTTGTCTTCTATCATTCTTGAACACGTTGGTACATATGCTAACGTCACAAGAATGCTATGAGCCGTACTGACCAGAGTGATGAAGATAAGAATTTGTCACTGCACACAGCACGAGGGACAAAGCTGTAAGACTCAGGCAAGTGCTGTAACCATGACTTACGCCAGTATCAGTCGGTCCAAATGGATGTTCGGGCGCGACAAGGACAAGGGCCATAAGACTAGAGCCCACGAAACCCATACCAACGCTTGTAATAATATACTAAGGGTCCATCGTCGAGGTATTGCCGCATTGGATGCCATTGTGGTCGCATGCAATTTAATATAGCATCCGGATCAGTGCTCTCGTATCTGTACTTTCCACGCTCACTGCAAGCACCTGAAACAGCCGCTCACAACAAAGTCCGGGTTGGCATTCCTCCGGGAATGCGCGCGAGGCGAACATCGAATCGTAAGTTGACAGCGATATACAAGGGTCTCCCTGGTCAAGTGGGGGGGGAGGGGGGGAAGGATTGATCCACTGATGTGATGACTTTACTTTTTGATGGCGCGCTTTCATTTTCCACTTTTCAAATGTCGTGTCCCACTATTCAAGATCTTCCGGATCTCCGCTTCATCTAATGTACCGGCATTTTTCGGTCTCAACATTCCAACGGGCCATAGAAATCCGGGTAAGGTAAATTTTCTCCTAACCTGGAACCCTCGGTGCTTGTGAATGCTGGTCCCGTTTGATTGCGCAAAAGAACCGTCTCTCTGGTCACCAGACCGGGTCAGCGAGTAGAAACTAGCCAGTGGTCGATTCTGTCATAGTTGGTATTGTCAGATCATCACGTAAAAGAAGGAGCTAGCTGCATGTGTTCATGCAGTTAACGAGCGCTCGATGCGCCGGTCTCCTTGACTATTCTTGCCACATCATCAGTCTAGTACTTGGTGTTTTGTGGTTTGTAGCCGTGATTTGCGCGGGTTTGATAGCGCGAGGTAATTTCTTCAGCCCAATAGCCATGCATTGGAGAGTTTCGTGGTCCTCATCGTGGTCTGATCTCACGAAAATTGTCTGAGAGGATGTGGGATGGGTATTGTTCTGATTGACGATTCGACATGCTTCCAACACTGATGCGAGAGTGCTCGGGAGTTATCGTCTGATCTACTGATCAATTCTGGCAGCTTTTTAGGCTAAATTTCTTGGAACTCTTCTAGTATAGACACTCTATAGGAGGCACATAGGGAGAGAAAGCGGTCTTAGTGCCTATAGGCTATACCGGCCTATGCCAGACAGAACTCATGTGATAGGTCCTTGACGAGTCAGATAGGAGGCGTGGGAGTTAAGGAGAAACAATATAGAGAGCGTCTAGGTGGAACAGAATAAGACAGAAGCGGAGGCCAGAGACTTCGTGCAGCCCTATAGTATTCTCTGATCGTCCAGTCCACACGAAGTCGATGATTATAATGCAGCAAATAAAGAACGCCTATCATAATTAGGATATCAATATATTTTGCCTGTGTCCTGTTATCACGGGAATGGAATGTCAGCTTGAGTCTATAAACGGATCTATATCCCACATCGGAACCAAACTCAAATCCCTGTGGTGGACGATGTCCAACAGTAAACCACTCAATGCACGATACGCGGACGTGTCTGAAAGTAACCTGTCCTCCGGTACGCCTGGTTCTGTAAAAAGACTGGTCATCGGACACCTTATCTACATCTGAATCGACTGCATGCAATCTTCCTCGGCAATCCTCTGAATACGAAGATATTCAGTAGCTCAGCTAAGCCTTCTGTGGATCACGCAAGAATGTAACAAACATGATACACCCATTGATCCGCGCGAACCGTACAGACCATACAAACCAAACCCCCAAGCAATGCGCCCAACGGCAGATATGCGCATACTCGAATGAACATGACGAAGCCGCCCCATAAGGCGATAGGGCGCGCACATCACCCGCGCCGCGTAGAGTTAAATGAATGCTGGATTCCGGCAATTGGATCGGCATCGGCATATCGGCGAAGAAAATATCCTGTTGGCTCGGTTTCACGATCTCACCTCTTGTCATCTCAGTGACAGGGTTAAATAGGCTTGACAGACCATTGACAGATATAAGCCACATGCACAGCCTGTACTTGTACTACAGAGTATGTACTATGTACACTGTAGGCCAGGCGGAAGGGAACAACAACAGTTCCGGAATGCAGCCAACCCTGGCAACCCGTTAATCAGCCGCCAAGCAAGTCTCGAACAAATGAGATCATCGCATGCGGCACGTGCAGCTTACATTGCAGCGTTCGATGCAGCGAGTGGGATTAAGAGAAGGGGAAAAAGAAAAAAAAAAAAACAATAGCGTATGGCTGCTATGGTTTATTGTGCCTGATAGGGTGTAAGGGGGAAAAAAAAAAAAAAAAACGGGAATTTCTCCGGTACAGTGGGAGGGCTTGTATTTTAACTACTCTTCACGATGCGGTCGACTGGTCATCCTGAGCTTCTTTTCTCAGCACCAAACTTTCAATAACTCCTTCATCCTTACTCAATCTCATTTATTTATTCTCTTATCTCCCTATATATCTAACACATATCACATCATTTATCAAGGGGGTTTTCCCGACTCGTTCCATCGATGCCAGTTTCCTGTTGATTCTATACCCCCGAAGTCGCTCCGTGACGGCGGCCTACCCGCCAGGAATCTTACAGCTCCAGGATGAAATTTGCCAAGTTCGTTGTTCCCATGATATATATGTGCGGATTCCACTGGGCACACGCTGACTATATTTAGAGAATTGGAACAGGAGCTAGTCCCTGAATGGCGGGCCAAATACCTCGACTACAAGGCAAGAGACACCGGAATGACACAGAACACGAAAAAGAACCCGTACGGAACTCGAAACTAACCGATGCGTTTTTTTCTCTGAATAGGCGGGCAAGAAAAAGGTCAAGGCCATTACGCGCGCCTTGCAAAAAGCGAGTCGCAGTCCCTATCCCCAGCCAAGCCGCCCATCCTCCTCCCATCATGGCCATAAACGATCTCCGTCCGGATTGACCAGCGAGCAAACCGTTCCTCCAACGCCCAACCGTCCGTCAGACAAGCGGCTCACTCCCTCAGACCCGTCGCAAAATAATTACCCGACGCCGTCTGCAAGGCCAGGGAACAATCCTGCATCGTCCGGTCCGCGTTCCACGCCTGTGCCACGTAGCGCGGAGCGTCAACCGCTACACTCCCCGGGGTCTCGATTCTCTGCTGCTGCCGTCGGGAGCTATGGGAGCATTCTCACATCGCCGCAGCATGGCGCACCCACTGCGTCGGACATGGCATCGCTGGAGCTACCCGATCCTGCCATCGACCCTCGCGATGATCAATCCGATAAAATGGACGGCCACGGCGGCGAGAAGGATCACATCCATTTCACCTCCAGCCCCGGTAATCCAGAGAGTCGGGATCCTTCGTCAGTCTCCCCGCGCCATGTTAGCCTCCCTAGTCACTCCGATACAAAACCGTCCACACCAAAAACGCCTGAGCCCGGCGCAAAGAGAAGGTCTCAACTCCTGAAGCGAGTCTTCCCCCACCAAGATGTGGACCCGTCGACAGAAAAACAGGGTCAATCTGAAGCTCCTCCCTCGTCGGAGGTCGACCGGCGCCAAGACGAGTTCTTCGCATTCCTGGATGAGCAGCTGGAGAAGATCGAATCGTTTTACCACATGAAAGAGGAAGAAGCTTCCCAACGATTACGATTGCTACGACGGCAACTGCATATTATGCGCGACCAACGAATCCAGGAAGTTATCGGAGCGCAGAAGAAGTTCGGAAAAAGGAAAAGTGGGAAAAAGGACGGTCCGAATCCGAAAGCCCTGACTGGGTTAAACGGCCGTATGATGAAGGATGTCTTGACGGGACGGAACCGATTCGGGAAAAATACAGAAGCGTTGGCACGGATGGCTACAACTACACCAAGGACTCTTCAGGCACAGGATCGTGAATCAATCACCCGTCGGAGGGACTTCTCGCGTCGACCGGAAGAGGAAGAAGTGGGTGAAGCGGAGGATGAAGACGACGAAGATTCGCCCAATGTCGATGTACCATATCGCTCTGCAAAGAGGAAGCTGAAACATGCCCTCCAAGAGTTCTACCGTGGCCTCGAGTTGTTGAAAGGATATGCCTACCTCAACCGGACGGCATTTCGGAAGATTAACAAAAAGTATGACAAGACCGTCCAAGCTCGTCCAACTTTGCGTTACCTGTCGGAGAAGGTCAATAAGGCCTGGTTCGTCCAGAGTGAGGTTACCGAGAACTTGATGGTCGCAACGGAAGATCTGTATGCTCGCTATTTTGAGCGTGGGGATCGCAAGCTGGCGATCTCCAAGCTCCGTCGTATCGATAACAAGTCGGGAGATTACTCTTCCAACACTTTCCGCTCTGGCCTTTTTTTGATGGCAGGTATATTGTTTGCGATTCAGTCGTTGGTCTATGTTGGGCAACACATGCGCAGTGGGGACCCTACTCTTCATGTTCACACAAGCTATTTACTGCAGGTTAGTCTTCTGCAAAGGACTGGCTATCTAGGTACTAATGGGAGCAGATTTATGGAGGTTATTTTCTCGTTGTTTTCCACTTTTTACTCTTTGCTTTGGTCTGCATGGTCTGGACCAAAGCCAAAATCAACCACGTTTTTGTTTTTGAGTTTGATACAAGGCATGCATTGGAATGGCGTCAGTTATTAGAGGTATGCAAACCCAATCCTTGGATCGAATATATCTAACGCGCAACAGATACCATGCTTCTTTTTGTTCCTCTTGGGCCTGTTTATGTGGCTCAATTTTTTAAATGTTAATGCTATGTATATATACTGGCCGGTGGTCCTCGTGGGACTGACCCTAATTATTCTCTTCCTACCGTTCCGTGTGCTCTACCATCGCAGCCGACAATGGTGGGCATATTCTAATGTGAGTATTCGTATCTAGGGTAGCCTTTATTGCTTACTAACGAGAACAGTGGCGTCTGGTTCTCGCGGGTCTATATCCTGTTGAATTTCGTGATTTCTTCCTTGGAGATATGTACTGTTCTCAGACATATGCCATGGGTGTAAGTGCGCTTTGGAGTGTCAGCTGCGCAGTACTAATATTCTCCAGAACATCGAACTGTTTTTCTGCCTCTACGCAAAACACTGGACGGACCCACCGCAATGTAATTCATCCCATTCGCGCCTTTTAGGATTCTTCCAATGCCTCCCAGCAGTTTGGCGTGCCTTTCAATGTTTGCGCCGGTACGCAGACACGCGAAACCTGTTCCCGCATATGATGAACTTTGGCAAATACATATTTTCGGTCCTCTATTATGCGACCTTGAGCATGTATCGGATCCAAAGGATCCAGCGATTCGAGGCTACATTCATTACATTCGCCTTGCTGAACGCCGTGTACACTTCAGTGTGGGACTTGGCCATGGACTGGAGTTTAGGTAACCCCTACGCTAAACACCCTCTCCTACGTGAGGTCCTAGCATTCCGGCAGGTATGGGTGTACTACGTTGCCATGGTCCTGGACGTGGTCGTACGATTCAACTGGATCTTCTACGCCATCTTCGCTCACGATCTTCAACACTCAGCCGTACTAAGCTTCGTCATCTCATTCTCTGAAATCTGCCGACGAGGTATCTGGACAGTCTTCCGTGTCGAAAACGAACACTGCACAAATGTCCTCCTCTTCCGCGCCTCCCGAGACACACCCCTCCCCTACGACCTCCCCAAACCACCCGAAGAAGCCGAACCCCACAGACCCGAAGACGTCCAACTCCAAGGACAACCCCCAGGCACCGGTACCACCATCCAGCCAAGCCCCAACCCTGAAGACCTAGAACAAGGACCCGTACCGCCAACACCTGCCGGCGCATCCATGCGCACGCGTCGCGGATCTCGCGCAGCAGCCGGTCTTTCGCGCGTTGGATCGATCGTGGCCGCTGCACACGCGCAGGACTTTGAGCGCAGGAAACGGCCTGATCAGATGCATCCTGCTTCCGTGTCGCAAGGGAATGCGCAGACCCCGGATGACTCGAGTGAAGAGGAGGATGATTCGGGGGATGCGGATATGAGTGCCGATGCGACTCAGTACGCGAACCAGTATGCGGAGGGCAATTTGGAGGATGAGTTGCCGTTTGGGAGGACGAGGACTCATCGGACGCCTGAGGATGATGAGAAGTAGGGTTGCTATGTTTTTGTTATTTTAGAAGGGATCTGGTGTTCAATATTTGGTCAATAATTATCTGTAACGAACTACGGAAGGATATTTAATTGGTCATGCTAGTTTTGGGATATCTGGGTGTATATAATGCATGTTCTAGCCATCTTGCTATGATGGTCCCATTACAAAAAAAAGAGGAATGGTTTTAAATCTATGGCCATATTTTCTCTTATTCATTTCCAGTTCCTGTTCCTTGATCATACAAAGTGGTCCAATGATGCAGCAACTCATTAACCTCAGACTCGAGGTAAGTCTCAATAATCAGTTGCGCGGTGCGCATGAGTCCGAGGTTTAAGACCCCCGATAAGCTTCTTCGCCTTCATATGCAAGCGCCTTCTTAGCCCTAATCACCTGACTCTCTTGTGACCCAGCATCGCTCATGTCCTGGATTCTAATCTAGCATCTTGCATCTCCGTATTTACATACGACTTTAGCATTATCACCGTCACTGAGGGCACCATGAGCTTTCATGTCCTGAACTCCCTGGTCCTTCTGTGACCCAGTATCGCTCCTGTCCGGAAAATCCCCAGGCAACTCAACAACCATACCGCTAAATCTGCGATGAGGTTCATAGCGGTTGCAGTTATAGGTTTAAGTGGTGTGGCTAGGAGATAAGGCATGGCCATTCTGATTTCGTCGTTTTGTTCGGAAAACGATTGGACAGCAAGCATAGTATAAGGCGAGGCTGTGAGTTCTGAGCTTGGGGTTTGAGCTTGCTGATATTCGGTGTTGTTGTTACTGTTTGTTGGCAGAACTGGCGGGCGTGCATATGCCCTTATAGTAACATACACAGATCCAGTGTTACTTGAGACAATGCTTTGTGATCGTTGTAGTTGTGGTTTCGGAGAATCTCGAGATTCGCTTATACTAACGGTACTCTGTGAAGGACCAGTTTCGGTGCTGCAAATGGCAGTTAAACTTACTGTATCTCTTAGTATCCAGGAGGGGTTATTCACATACGTTATAACGTTATTCGGACTTGATTCCATTGGACTTGCCTGTCTATACCGTTCCCAGACTTCAGGCTGTTATAAAACCAGGTCTTTGATAAGCCTTGTTTGCTCTGATCTGTTTGATGCAGCTCTTGTTTATGAAGCAATGTTTGAAATAACTTTGCAAATAAACAAATGATCAATATTTACCTTTGCTCAGCATTCATCCTAGCATAGATAGCAACCTGCATTATACATTGAAGATTACTCTTCATCTCACTCAATTTCACCCGAAACACCTTACGGCGCGAATCCTGAAGCCCAAACTTGGGCAACCCGACCCTGCTTTCTGCATCCTTGAACATCTCCCGAAGAGTCTTAAAGATCGATAGCATCTCTCCACTATCTCCTTGGCTGTCGTAATGGCATTCCTCGAGATAAGCGGCTTTGATGCCCTACTTTCGTCCTCGAATACTTTGCCAATTCCTTCAAGAATTGCTAACGTAGTTCGGACCTGGAATGCTGCGACTTTGACTTGTTGTTTTCTCCAGATCGCTGCTTCGTAGACTTTGTACAGCGTCTGTGCGAGGGCAAAGCCGACGGTTGCTAGTCGAATAATAGGTGCCGCGGCTGCACCATCTCCATCTTTTTTTCAAAAGAAAATTATGCTTCCCTAGGAGACATGAAAAGTAAAAAAGTAGATGTGGTGAAGAGGTGAGATAAAGCTGAGGGTCGACATTGTCAATACTCAGCCTCAGCCTCGTGATACCTTTAATCATAGCAGCATTCTACACGTACCGGCAGCTTGCTATGGCTTGCCGTAGGCAGCCTGTTGGAGCAATTCTCAGGAATTTGGGGAGGTCCTTGACAATAATATAGGGTGTGCAAAGTATAGACCGCATAGATATATGTGGCCAATAGATAAACACGGACCAACCCTAATCAGTCACTATGAGATAATATCAGACTGAGCTCATTGTCACGTCCCTGTGCTGAGACTATATCAAGAAAGATTTCTTAGTTATTTCCGTACTAATTATTTGAATTTACACTGATATTATAAGCAGCCATGAATAACCAGTTACCTATCCAGGGTGAGTACGACATGGCTGATATACACACTATCAACATCCTAATTGAGATGGCAATCAGAAACAGATGTCCTTAAGGATGTCCCTAAAGAGCTCGCTAAAGAAGCCCTGCGCATACGGGATACATTCGTTATCGATGAAGCTAAATTAAAAGAGATTACCAATCGTTTTCTTTCGGAATTACGAAGAGGTAGCTCATCCGCTATGAGATGGATAGAGCTAATACTAATGAATTCCAGGCCTAGAAAGTGATGACAGTGACATCGTACGTGACAACAATCCTTCTTTTATTGACAAAATACTAACTTCCCAGCCAATGAACATAACCTGGGCCATAGGTATCCCCACCGGCCACGAAATAGGCACATACCTCACCCTCGATATGGGCGGAACAAACCTCCGCGTCTGCAAAGTAACTCTCACGCCAGAAATCGGCGGCTACGACCTCATCCAGTCCAAATTTAAGCTCCCCGACGATCTCAAAGTTGGCCTTGCGGACATGCTCTGGGACTTTATTGCGGACTGCCTATATCAATTCCTGGAAGAACATGGACAACTTGGAAACAGGGGGAAAAACGAGGTAAAACTGCCGTTGGCATTCACGTTTTCATTTCCAGTTGCGCAGGAGAGTATAAGGCACGGGGTGCTGCAACAGTGGACTAAGGGGTTTAATGTCGGGGGTGTGGAGGGGAAGGATGTCGTGCTGCAGTTGGAGAAGGCTTTGAGAATGAGGGAACTTCCCGTCGAGATTGTTGCATTGGTGAATGATACCACGGGGACGTTGATTGCGTCTGCATATAAGGACCCGGAGATTCAGATTGGGACTATTTTCAGCACGGGGTGTAATGCGGCTTATATGGAGGATTTCGGGTCTATTCCTAAAATCGCACATCACTCACTTCCTCCTGATACCCAAATTGCTATAAACACCGAATGCGGTGCCTTCGATGACTCCCATTGCATCCTCCCACGAACCCCCTTCGATCTCGAAATCGACAATACCTCTCCTAAGCCTGGTCGGCAGATCTATGAGAAAATGGTCGCGGGTCTATACATCGGCGAAATCGTTCGCTTGATAATCCTCCACCTCCACGATTCCTATGGCCTCTTTGCAGAAAACAACGACATTACCCGCCTCCGCATGCCAAGCACAATCGACTCCTCCGTGCTCTCCAAACTAGAAGAAAACCATTTCTACAGCTCTGATTCTTCCGCCGAGATCCAATCCCTCTTCCGCGAATGTCTGGGAATTAACCCAGCACCTGACGAGTTAAACCTCTGCTGCTTCGTTGCAGAATTCGTATCCTCGCGCGCGGCGAGATTATATGCGTGTGGGATTGCGGCGATTTGCAGGAAAAGGCAAATTAGGTCTTGTTCGGTGGGTGTTGACGGGTCTGCGTTCACCAAGTATCCACGGTTTAGGGAGAGGGCTGTGGGTACGTTACGGGAGATTTTGGATTGGCCGGAAGGGGAGGAAGATTTGATTCGTTTTAGGCATGCGGAAGATGGGTCTGGGGTTGGGGCTGCCTTGATTGCGGCGTTGGCTGAAAAGGTGGGGAGGCAGGAGGGATGATATTCGACTGTGTTATGAGCAGGCGTAGCTTCACTCGGAGCCAGCAGACCCCATCAACCCCTACGACCTCGTCTGCATCTTACCTTCAAAACTCCATGGGAAGTAAGAATCTAGTTCTTCATGGGTGTTTCAGTCCCTCCGGTTGAACGAAGCTAAAGCTCTAAACCCTACCAAGCCCTAGATGTTCGGGCCATGCCATGCAATATATATCCGAGATGGCTTTGTTATTGACTTTATTGTACGGAATTTTATTTTCTTTGTGATGTAGTATCCATTAATAGTTATAGAAAGCGCTTTACTGCACTGGTCACATACATATCAGCTTCCTATGACACCTGCGATAGAATACAGGATAACTACATGGAGTTAATATACATAACTATGGAGTAGCTCATCGCAAATTCACGTGACATAGACGTCACATGCCAATGACTGCTCCTCCGCCCGCTCTTTACTCCGTATCCGTACTCCGTAGATCATCAACTCCAGCGCACATCTTCTTAACTGCCACATCTACACCGATTCTATTATCGACGCATCCAGCACCTTAACACGATCGCTCGATATGGCTGCCAACGCCAGATATGAACAGGCTCCCCAGCGAGACTCCTTTGAGGAACGGGAGTTCTCTCAGCCCCCGCCGTCTTATCAAGCGGCCTCGGAGTTTCCCAGCGCGCCTCGCAGTGAGGGAGACAACCTGCCTGATGACTTCAAGGTGTGTATTGTGTGGAAGATAAGATGGGAATGTGAATGTGCTAACGACATGAGTAGTTCGGTGGTACCGTCGCGGAGGCGACCCTTCCCATCCGTATGCAGTTCGTCCGGAAGGTTTATTCGATCTTGTGAGTACTGCCCAAGCTTACACAGGATACAAACGAGGGAAAGAAAAAGAAGAGAGGCTAATAAATGATAATAAAAGGACCGCCCAAATCCTCCTGACTGCCGCCATGAGCTCCATCTCCTTCTTCAGCGAGGGCTACCGCACCTGGATCCAAGGCAACTTCTGGCTACTAATGGTCTCCCTCTTCGGCGCTATCGGCTTCATGCTCGTCACCTATTGGAAGCGCAAGAGCTACCCCTCCAACCTCCTCTTCCTATCAGCCTTCACAATCATGGAAGCCTACTCCATCAGCGTTGTGACCTCGCTCTACGAATCGCGCATCGTTGTGCTAGCGCTCGTGTTCACGCTTGGTATCTTCGTCGCTCTGACCGCGTTCGCGTGCCAATCGAAATACGATTTCACGAATTGGATGCCATATTTGTTCGGTGGGCTGTGGTTTTTGATTCTGTTTGGTTTTATGGCCGCATTCTTCCCGAGGAATAGTACCATGGAGCTCGTGTATGGTGGTATTTCGGCGCTGATTTTCTCGGGCTATATCCTTGTTGATACGCAGTTGGTTATGCGGCACTACCATGTTGAGGAGGAGATTGCGGCTGCCATCTCGCTCTATTTGGATATCCTCAACTTGTTCTTGGCTATTCTGCGGATCTTGAATAACCAGAACAACAACTGATTTTGTGTAAACTGCTATGCTTCAGATTAAAATATGAGGCGCTTACTATCTTGAGGTCGTTGATTACTTGCTTGGGCCTACACGAGATTGTCATTCATTAGTGCAGCTAGCGCCTTTACTGTCTTTTCCTTTCGTTGCTTTTGATTCTGTTAGCTGCATATTAATTCCCTCTGTCAATAACTTGTCTTTTCTCTTACAAGGCGCGCAGATATCTTATAGCTCTTACACAACACCATGCCGTTTCATCTGTCTTCCAACCAAAAACCAGAAATTTATCATATTGCTTGCGTACTGAAGATCAGATATAGGTATCCCAGAAACTAATCTTTTCATTAAGCATCGTCCAGAAAGCAACCTCTAACAATAAACAAGAAAAACAGAAAACTGAGCCTGAATTTAGAGAAGCGAATTTATATAGTCCAAGAGAGATGGAAAAGCCAAACCAAACGCCTTGCATGGTCGTATCAGCAAAATAATTTCAACAACGATAAACTCACTTTGTGTCAGTAGTTATAGCAACGAGCAACGGAAGGGAATTAATGAACGAATGCAAGTCTAGCTGTAGACAAGACAAGGGAGGAATAGAAAAAGAAAAAAGAAAAAAAAGCTGTAAGCAGTGATAAAACAAAACGAGTCTAACAGTAGAATGAAGAAGTGAAGAAGGGAAAGAGAAACTGCAAGTAGCAGGTAAGGAGTAGAATCGAACTAATTCGAAGCAACGAACAAGGAATTTGTAACCAGCGACACAATCATAACACAGGCACCATAGATAGCCAGAGCAAGGCTTAGTCTGCGAAGCAAGTTCCTACGCCACTGACGTCGACCATGACGAACGATGCCGCCGTCACTGGGCACATTCTCCTGGGCCTGCTGATCGTTATCGTCGCTACCGTCGTCTGCTTCAGTAGATGCGACTTCATCATCATCACCCACTTCGTCATCTTCCTTCATGAGTCGTTGGTGGGATGGCGAGTCGGGGGAGGAGATTCTGTAATAGAAGAGACCCGGGAGGATGAAACTGATGCTAGTGCTACCTGTGCTACCAACGTAGGCAAGCACGGCCTCAAGTGACGAGACAGTCATAGCAGCAACGTAGCTCACGATAAGAATTGATGTTGTGATCACTGAGAAACGCAAATCGCTCATAGCTTCTGGTGAGCGGCTGCCCCTTGAGCCCAAGAGAGGATGACGGTGAGGGGAGTTCTCATTTCCGTTCGAGGCCTTCGGTCTCCAGCGCAGTACTGCGTCGACAGAGGCCCGGCATGGGTGACACTGAAGAGGATACGAGAACATGACGAGGATGACGATGGCAGCACGTCCAATGGTGGCCCAGAGCCCAGGAGGGTACATTCCGATGATGTTCCCGCTCACGCCGTTTCCAAACGAGAGGTATCCAGTAATGGCTACCAGGATATAAGTTGAAGCAGCGCCTCCAATACTAGCAAAGACGACGCTCGTGGTATTGAAATGGCTGTTGTCGCGGATTTCGTTGAGAATGGAGAACATCTATATTCGTTAGTTTTCCGTCAAGACGAAGGAAAGACAGCACGTAGCATACGTTTTGGTGGCATGTAAACGCAAAAATAGTGACAGGGAGACTGCTTAGCGTAGGAACAGCACCTGCCCATTGAATGACACGGATCGGACCGCGATCAGCCATCGTATCGCCCTTGATGAAGTGGTAGAGAACCAATATCACTAAATAGCCAATGCACGCCAACGCTGCGAAGCTGGTATATTTTAGGGAATCCAGACGTCGAAGGTAGGAGAGAGGAATAATGATCAGCCTGTTCAGAGTCAGCATTCTGCCTCTTTAATATCGCAGTCCATGTTATGACCGACATGAAAGCTGTTACCCAAAAATGCCTATCCACTAGGAAGTCATAGTCCGGTTCACCACCAATGAAGCCCTGAATGACTGCCGGCATTAAATCTCCGATGATGATCAAGTAGCTCACTCCAACACCAAAGCACTTTATCGCGATAGCGGCATCGAAGACGACGGAAGCGTTGGGATAGGTGATTTGCGATAGAGCAAAGAACGACGCAGACCCTCTTTCCAAGTATTGAGCACAACGCGACTGCAGATATAAACCGAATCCAGCCGTTATACCGGACCATACAACAACGAGGACACCGAGAACAATTCCCATGTGGGAGATGGCGAGGGGCATCGCCAGAACACCGGCGCCGATAACTGAAAAAGCAGACTATTAGAACAATCAATCTGGCTAGTTCAAGCAGACAGCCAAACTTACTTGTGTTGACCAAGTTGATCACACTGCTAGCCCAACTGGCCTGGCCCTGATAACCAGCGACTTTTCTCCGCGGTCTATCCAGACAAATCTCCGGTCAGAAAACCACCCATCACAGGACAAAACGGACAAAACGGACAAATACGCACCTCCATAATGGAGCCCGAGACCCCTCTCCATTGCCAAAGCCAGCAGTTACGTCGTCGTCCACCATTGTCGATAGATGGTGGTTATGAGATGGACTGATATGATGTGATAAGGATAGCAGTCACGACTCGAGGGGAATATCTAATCAACCGAGGGCAATAATGGGCACAACCACCATAGCGTGTGCCAGGAATACAGCAGTAAAAAGAAAAAACATAAATGAAAAGCGAGAAGGAGTGGAGGAATAAATCAGCGATGATAACACGAGAGGAGTTGGCGATGCAGGGATCGCATTGCGTGAGGCGGAGTTGCAATCACCGCCGGCGGAGATTGTCGACCTTTTTTTCTTGGCCGCTTTTCCTCTACAAGTACATTTACTCCGGACCTACGGGGTATACAAACAAACAAACAAACCAAATAGGAAAATTATTGTTCATTATTCATTAACATAGCTACATTCACAGCTTTGATTTCCCCCATCCCGGCTGCTTCAACAGTGCAATCGACTCTTCTTCCACGGTCCTCGTGTCCGATGCGGTGTTTCCGGCGCGCTTTCCAGGGCCCGGGTCGTTGTATGGGTTGACAGCGCGCACAGTCTTAGACACTTCCAGAATAGTTCCACCCTTGACCTCGAACTGTTGTCCCTGACCGGATTTGTCGCCAATAATTTCGCCGACCTTGTCCTGTTGCACCAGTGCCAGCATCACCTCGGCCACCTCATCGGCGGTGACCCAGGTGTCCGCCCCGTCGATCATCTTCAACTTCTCCGGATGGTCCGTCCACAATGGTGTCTTGATAACGCCCGGTGCCACACCCGTGACACGAATCCCGAAGAGTTCGTCCAGTTTGGCCATGGAGCGCACGAATCCGCTGATACCGTGTTTGGTGGCCGAGTAAACCGGCGCAGCGAAGGATGCATTTTGCCCGGCAATACTGGAGATATGGACAATGTGTTTGGACTTCTGGGAGTCGCGATTGCGCAGGAAGTGAGAAATGGCGAGTTGGGTGACACGGATCGGGTGTGTAAGGTTGATATCGATCAGGCCGTACCGGCCACCTGCTGGAGAGTCCTTACTGGCCTGAGTTCCAGGAGGCCGCCAAAAGTTGGTCCAGTGCTGTTTCTCATGATCAGTCATGCTGCAGTATCGGTCTATGAAACACCTGGATATCATACCGGTTCGTAGATACCAGCCCCCGGACACACGAGGTCAATCTCTCCGAATTCTCGCTCTGCAACTTCAAACATCCGCTCAAGCTGCTGCCAGTCGGTGACATCCGTCTGTTGGAAGACCGCTCGGGAGGTGTCATCCTTGCCCGAGTGCTTATCGACAATTACCTGAGCCTCGGGACGGAGACCCAAGTCCGCAATGAGGACATTGCAACCGTTTTCCAGCAGGAGACGGGCAAAACTCAGGTTGATTCCTGCAGAAGTTAGAATATTGTGCAAGCGACAATTGCTTTTATCAGATCATACCTGAACCAGCACCAGTTACAATGGCTGACCGTCCTTTAACCGAGAAAGCCATACTGACGACTGCTACCCAGGTGTAGACGGATGATTGTAATGAACGGGGTGGTACAGGGATTGGGACATGGTAAGCACTAATCCTGGAGTATTTATACCCCGAGCTCATTCACTCCTGCTCCATAGCCCCGGCCCAAGTGTGTGGCTGCAATGACTGCAAAGGGCATGAGGGGAGTCGCGGGGCAGACTCCGAGAGTAGGTGTGCCGAGCGCGGAAGGAATGCCGAAGTGTACTCCGTAATATTATTCCGCGTTCTAGGCACACTAACCTGAAAAGTAGCCGTACGGTCTATAAAAACAGTCTTCCTGTTGCTCTAGCTCAGATTGCATTATCCTTGCATCCTGGGCCAGCCAGCTCATCTGCACGACGTGGTAGGAGCTGGTCTTGGAATCCGTACACAGTTTGGCTCGCAGCATTGAGAGATCCATTGGGCAATCAAAGTCCATAATAGAAATGCTCCACCGAAGTGGTAAGTCACTTGAAGAGTGTAGTGGAACAACTGATTCTCATCAGGGTTGATTTCCCGGTAGTCATTGAAAATCAATTCTCGATACATATCTAGAAGCAAATGGAATCGAAGCGCAAAACTCAATTAATATAGCCCGACCTAGCCCTCGTCCTTGCTCTTCTACTTAGATGCTAGAGGCATAGTGCTCCCTTTCAATGCAGACTGCACTTTGTACAATATGCTTGCTGCCGAACCTCGTCCCGAGCATCGCCACGTGACGGCTTAGCTTCTACAAGGTCGTTGTACTACACGAACCATGGGCAATTGAGCTCCGAACTATTGATTACATTTGGTGTCTGTATCTATTAGACGTACATAGTAGACAAACATGAACAATTGCCAGCTAAATCGATCTCTGGTCGGCCGTGGAAAAAGCGAGCTTTTCCCGATTAGGACTCTGGGGTAAATAGCTGGTCAACCAATAAAAAGCCTCTATATACGCCATAATCCACAGAAAAACCGAACTTTAAGCGGGGAAGCAGAAGCGGTAAAAGTCCCAACACGGTAACCAAACCGTCTTGGGGAAGGCGGGATCGTTACCACATAAAGAAAGATACCGCAATGGTCTCCGCATAATTCCTCTGCCACTTGAGCTGGAGGCAGCATATAAAACCCCCAGACCTTCTTGTTCAAAATGTGACGACCAACAGGCTTATTGACCGCCATCATTTATCAATCATGACAATGTCGAAATTCCTTTCAAAAACGGCCGTTCGAGCGGCTTCCACGACGAGTCCATCTTCTCAGATGACCAAGGCAGCGGGAGACATCTCCTCGGTCTTTCCCAGTTTGAGGCCGGACTACCAGCCAGAACCTTTGCCTTCGCGGTTCAAGGATTTGAAAGCAGACCTGTTCGCGAAGAACGAAGATGCTTTGAAGCAGAGCTGGAAGAGATTGCTCCACAGCCTCGACGAGGAAATACAGAAGATCAAGGCCAAAGGGAGCGATGTATGTTATTCGATTCAGCTCATCAATATGCCATGCTAACTTTGTAATAGATTATTCCATCAGTCAATTACTCAGACATCATCTCAGGCAATGTGTCTGACGAGATGCTCGCGGAAATCCGTCACCGGGGAACCGTCGTGATCCGCAACGTGATTGACAAAGAAACAGCCTATGGCTACCAGGAGAGAGTTAAAGAGTACGCTGCAGCAAACAAAGAGCGAGTGAAAGCCTTCCCTCCAGACTCTCCCGCAGTATATGAGCTATATTGGACACGATCGCAAGCCGAGGCGCGATCTCACCCCAGCATGCTGAACACGCAGCATTTTCTGCAGCGCCTGTGGCACTCGTCAGATCCAAACACCCAAATATCTACGAGAAACCCCTTGACATATGCGGACCGCCTCCGGATCCGAGGACCCGGCGATGGCAAGTTCACTCTCGGGCCTCATATCGATGGTGGCTCGCTCGAGCGCTGGGAAGACCCCGAGTACTCACGGGTGTACACCAAGATTCTCGAAGGGAAGTGGGAGGAATACGACCCCTTTGATGCCAGACACCGTGTCAAGGCCAACATGGATTTGTACAACGGTGCTGGTGCGTGCTCCATGTTGCGTTTCTTCCAGGGCTGGCTGTCCATGTCTGAAACTGGTCCTAACGAGGGCTCGTTGCATGTGTGCCCCATGCTCCGTCACAGCACAGCCTACACTCTCCTGCGTCCCTTCTTCGATGCCCAGTCTTCGCTGCCCAATATCGACAACACCTTCCCCGGCGCCGTTCCGGGCACTTGCCAAGAATATAACCCCGTTACACACCCCCACCTTGACCTCGAAACGACGATGGTGTCAGTACCCCGTGTTGAACCGGGTGACTATGTCGCATGGCATTGCGACTCGCTTCACTCCGTCGACAAAGAACACCGCGGAGACAAGGATTCCAGCGTGCTCTACATCCCCGCCACACCCATGTGCGAGATGAATGTGGACTATCTGCTTAAACAGCGCAATGCGGCGCTTGCTTATTCTCCCCCGTGGGATTTCCCCGGTGCCGGTGGCCCTGGGGAAGCTGGCTTCCAGGGCGCTCTGGACTGGTCGTCTGTTAACACTGATGGACAGCGAGCAATGGGTATTGGGAAAAGGGGCTGGGAGATTACCGAGGATATGAGCCAGGGTGAGAAGGAGGCTGTGCGGTATGCCAACAAAGAGTGTTTTGGTGAGGCATAAAGCCACAAGCTATATACAATAATCGCATCGACATTTTGTATCATATTTATTGAAAAACATTTCACATATGGCTTACCACACTGTTGTCAATGATTTTCGTATGTACCAGATCACGTAGAGCCTTTTCTGTCGCGTTCGTGAGCTTCGAGGCGGTCTGCTTCTTGAACAAGAATACTGACCGCGCTCACAGCGTTCTATACTATCAATACTTGGCTCGCTGCAATTCGTCCCGTGATGTACAAGTCTCAATTTTCACTTCAGTTACTATAATTGGAGCTACTCGGCGCATCTTGCGTGTACAATATATAAGATAAGCTTGCCAATGTTCCCAATCTGGACAAACGTGGCGAATGGCGTTATCTGATTATTGAATTAATTTTGTCACTGATAAGGATCCCCTTTCTTTTCTTCTTTTGCTTCTCTTTGTTTGGCCCCTGTAAGACCGTCTATGTACGGTAGCGTAGTTTGTACGGAGTACAGTAATACTGATCGGAGACATATAGGCTCTGTCCTTCCTGGTTTGTATATAAATTAATGTAGATGAATAACAAGCAACAATTTATGCTTCTTTGGTTAGGCAATCTATTAGTAGCTTCTTTCCCCAGATTTCCCTCTTCTCGGGTCTTGCTCTCCGTCTTTCTCCCCCGGAACCGCCAAGCCAGCATCCAAGGCTGTGCTGTCCTCAACTCGGGATGATCCCATTCCCGGCCAAGCACGAGAACCCCATTTTTGCAGCCCTGGCGACAATGCCGAGCGTTTTCGTTTCTGGGCAGCTAACTTTACCAACTGAGTCTCGACAAAGAAGAGGGTGATGCCTTCACCTTAGGTTGAGGCCGTTGAGCGATATAGGAAATCTCAATGACACGTGAGCCGTACACGATGGATATAAACATAAAAGAAGAGGAGATAAGAAATGGGGTGAAAGGGACGAGACATCAATCTCAAGACTCGCGGCTTAAAATGCTGCCTTGTCAGCACGCGATTGTCAGGATTCATGCAGGGATAACCCAAGTCTGGTTCGGACGCCAGCGGACGCCAACCGGGGTTCTCATACTGGCAGTGGTAGGCCCACAAGAACCAAGAATCGAAATGTCTGGTCTCCAAGAACTAAGAACGTCATCTTCATTGTCAGTCGTTGATAGGCATGCCCCGCAATCGGCGGTGTTCTATTGCGGCAGAGTGAGGGTGCTGGGAGAAAATATATACAGCAGCAGGGCCCAGTGTCTCATGCCTCTCAGCCAGACTCCATAGTGCATCTTAACCTATCTTGGTTGCCTATCAAATCGTCTGTTAGAATGCAAACTGCCTATTTGGGACCTGAGCCGGATGCTCGCCGCCTGACATACGACGATGATGCTAACAACACCCGTTCGAAGTCACGCTTCGAGAGCAAAGATGAGACTACAGACGGTAGCTTCTGGTCGATACGTGGTGGCAGCACGAACGCCTCGCTCTCGGGAAGGAACCAGGATGCCATTTCCCCTGAGTTCTCGTTGCACGAGAGTGTGTCTCGGTACTTTCTGGCCGAGATTAACACCAACTGGACCGATGGACTCCTGATCATCTGTGCCTTTGTTAGCGGCCTGGTAGACGGGCTATCGTTCAACGCCTGGGGGAGTTTCTCCAGCATGCAATCAGGTTTGTTTCCATCCTTATGGCAATGATGAATACACACAGTGCTAACCGACAACAGGAAACTCCGTTTTTATAGCCCTAGGCGTTACAGGCCAACCCGTCTACCCAGCCTACCTCTGGGCCAAGTCCCTCATCGCCCTTGCCACATACCTAATCGGAAACATTATCTTCATCCAAGTCTCCCGCGCTCTCCAACCCCTCCGTCGCTCCACCCTTGTCCTATCCTTCAGCGTCCAAACCGCAGCCCTCCTAGCTGCGGCTCTCCTCATCCAACTCGACGTCGTAGACAACAGGCCTGAAGACCCCCGTGCCCCCATCCAATGGATACAAGTCCTTCCCATCGCTCTCCTTGCCTTCCAAGCCGCGGGCCAAATCGTTGCCTCGCGCGTGTTGTCCTACGACGAGATACCCACCATCGTATTGACTACCTTGCTTTGTGACTTGCTCGTTGACAAGAACCTTTGCCAGAGGCCGTGGAAGGCGAACCAAAAGCGCAATCGCCGCCTTGCGGCGTTCCTGTCGCTCTTTCTTGGTGCTACGACGGCGGGTGGATTGTGTAAGGTGGATCATATGCCGGCGGGCTTGTGGTTGGCCATGGGATTGAAGTTGATGATTACGGCGAGCTTTATGGTGTGGAAAGACCATCGGAAGAGGGCTGATACAGGACTCACTGCATGAATCTCGCATAGTACCATAGATAGCAGAGGGGGATTGTTTGGCCTGTGTGTAAGGGAGCTTCGCAGCCTATGGGGCTAGTTGACTCCCCTCAGGCTATAGGCCTGCATAGATCTTTAGATAGTAGATAGTGATTTATCAATCAATTGCTCGAACTCAATATGCTTTGATACTTGGTGATAAATTCATTCACACAGTACGGCATAAGTGGAGATATGAGTCCTGTCCAGTTAACCTGGCCCAACCCGTGAGTTGACATGGGTCATGATTGGTGGTCCTATTACATATATTGCGACGCCATCTCCGACTTGTGACAGTGTATTCCTTGGATATTGCGTCAGTCTCGCCCAAAGACTAGCGGACGATTACAATGGAAGCCAAGAATACAAGGCCGATAAATCGAACCCTATGAGTAGCCTACTCTCCTGACATCCAGTACAAGTAATGTTAACTGGCTGCCTCTCCAAAGAATACATTCAATGAAAATCTTCATTATGGACTATATTGTTCATAAACAGCGTATCGCGAAAGTAAATCGGCCTTGAATTCACTTAAATGAAACCAACGAAATGTTTCTAAGATTTTTATTTTCTGGTATAGTTCCATCTGGGCTATTATTCCTCGCTTCCGGGATAGACCTTTCTTTGTCGAATCTGACGTAGAGTCTTACCCAAAACATCTTGTTGGTCCTGGACTGCGTGTGAATTGCCACGAAAAAGCTTTTAGCACCTCGAAAACTTCATTCGCGCGTTTAGTGTTAGATTTTCTGCTAGCAGATCCGGCTAGCATGGGAGCATACTATTATTGTGATGCCTACCTGCGCTAATACCGCCAGCGTGCATCTGCAGGGGTGCGATGCTCCCGGTCACCCACCGGCTCCCATTTCTCGATCACGATCCTGGGATTCTGGCGGTCAGTGTTGAGCGGTGAGCATAAAGACGATGCTCACTTTGCCTTGGCTTTTCCGTAACCAAAAGCGGTCATCCGACTGATTGGTCTCAGAAACGGCGACCTCGAATAGCCGCGCGGTAGTTGCACTGGGCCCCATCCGTTATCACCTTTTTGTCCCTTTCCTTGCCGAAGGGTAGTAAGCCAATTTACGATCTCGGCGACCTATGTGGTAAGCAGTTCTCATTCCGTGATGTGCGTCAACTCAACCTGAGGTAGGCTGGTTAGGGAACAAGGATAAGGTGCCACCCGCGGCCTAAGTAAATTTTTAGTATGCATAATAGGCTTCAATTGTCGCTGTATTGGAATTGCAATTTCGTGACGAAAAAAATTGCGTGGAAGGCTCGCGATGCCTAGACGGTCAACATCGTATCATCAGGTAATCCTCAGCCTGCCCTGTGATTGGGCTCCCATATGACGAAGACAGACGGGGCCTGAGCCTCCACTTGACAAATGACGATATAGGCAACTTCAAGTCCATCCAATATGTAATAAGGTCTCAGCCCTGTAAATCGAAACGACCTTTATTTGGATGGGAAAGCTTTTGTTGCACAGCGCAAGCTGACTATCCAAAACAGCCGCGGCACACTTGGCAGGTCGAGGTAGTGAAGATAATTGATGATAGATGGAAACCTCAATCGGTGAATTTGTACAGCAGATTATGGAGACCAGTGAATATAGAGGTTTCAATGTTACAAGACCGACCATTATTGCCGATACGAGCTGGATACTCTTCGGTGTCGCAACCTTAGGTTGCATAACGGCTGTATCACCTGTTCCATCCCAAAGGCATGCTTCACGCCCTACAGAGACCCCAAAAGCGAGGCCATACCTGAATTCAATGAGTGTGATATGGCCAGATAACTAGTCAGCACAGTTCTGATAATTCTGTCACACCCATCATTTCCCATACATCCACGATACCTGAAGGTCTGAGCAAAAATCGAAATAAAAGGCTAGTGTCTGAGAAGTCCATCATCAAAGCAAATAAGCCGACTCGTAAGCCACTCTGATACATTGGATACAAAGCATCTGAGCACAAGCAACAGATCTTCGGCAGAAATGCAAACTCTCTCCGCTATGGCTCTCAAAAGCATCTATATTAGCCTAGGCCGACAGACCGTTGACCAAAACCTGATGCTCTCTCCACACATGTGCGACAGCTCACATGTAACGGTGCCCTTGGGAGGTCTAATGAATCAGTTGAGGCAGTGATTTGAGTGCAATTTGAATAATATCCCACAATAGTATCTATCATCCGAATCACCAAATATGCAGGGCTGGGACATCGGGAGAGTTGCTGCTCTGGTAGATGATCGTTGTCAGACGGGCCTTATGCCAGGTTTTCTTGAGGTATAGAGCCCAGATCCTTCAAATCAAGACCTTTCATGTTGACATCTTATCAACCCTTCCAACTACTCAAAATGGCAGTCCCCGTTCAGTTTCCAAATAGACATTATGCATTCTCTCACCCATTCCAGATGAAGAGTTCCTAGAATCAGGTTTCATTTCGTTGATCCCAGTTCGACGCAGTAATATGTACCGAGAAGCCGAGCATATCATTGCGACCCTTGGGCGCGACTGGGCAGCAGTCTTTGGGGGCAATAACCACGATCACCATACGGGCGAGAACACCATATCTAGATACGTTCACTGCTTAATTTTGCCTGAGGCGAGACCAGATCGTTTCGAGCACACGGTCTGGTTTTCCGAGTTCTTCATCCTTGTGGACGGTAGGCTGTATTCAAGCTATCGTGTTGAATCATTTGCTAGGATTTCTTCAGAGAACACTGAGAACCTTACTCGCGAGATGGTAAGTGTAATTGCGCACAACTTTTGACGATAATTAATTCCTTTGATCTCCAGGCCCGCACAAACCTAAACCCCAAGCTTGCGAAGATCTTGGCGGATAGGGGCCAGAAGGATCCCGAGTCTGCTGTGGAAAAGCTCCTCGTGCCACCTATCAGAAACCCTCTTAGAAAGGGTTCTATCCGTGGATGTCGTGTGTTAAATGCGTGGCAGTATTGGCTTCTTAATGTCGATGCCAAAGGTCTGGAGGATTCTGACACACTTGAAGACTATGAAGAGTTTAGAATCATTAACTGCGGGTTGATGTATGGCATCAACAATCTCATTCCATAAAATTGATATTCTATGACACTGACCTGACATAATTAGGCCCTACACTTACATGGTGGAATATGCCATGGAGCCGACCCTAACGGACACCAAGAGACAAGATGCAAAGAAGCTCGAGCGCCTTGCTTTCAAATGTATCGGTGTGTCTAACAATATTTGGAGCTAGTCCAAAGAAGCGCAAGCTTATGAGCAGGGCAAAGGGTCATGAATGCCATCCTCGTCGCAATGAAGACGAAGAGTCTCACTACGCATCAGGCGATAATCCTAGTCAAGAACCGAGTGATGCAGTTTCAACAAGATCTCTTGGCCATGCGTGATGAAATTTTGTCAGCCTCGGCAGTTTCTGATGATATGCGTAAATATGTAAATGGTTATCTCTGGATTGTGTCGGGCAATGAGCTTTGGCAGTCTACCTGTCCGCGGTATCACCACCAGCTGCATGTTGAGCTATAGTTTGTGTTGTTGGACTTAAAATTGGCAGTGCAGACCAGACGCCTAAGTAATGGTCCTTTATCAGAATATTATTATAATTGGTTCAATTTGGATACACTATCATCGGACAAAAATTGTTCTCCCGTTTGCTCTAAACTATGCTCGGGACGGATGTATATCTCGGTCCATACTACCAACATTCTTCACCAACACCTACAATCATTCGACACAACCAGCTTTAAATGTCTCGACTTCCAATACAACGTAAGAGAAGGACAATGAGAAAGCATCTGTTGAATCATGATGTGATCAACACTATTGATAGATGAAGAAAGTGGGGGTTTGACTAAGCACGCCCTACGGGGCTTGCGTTTTTTTTTTTACACGCTCGAGTTTTCGAGATAGGCGAGGTTATATACGTGCAAGACTACGAGGTGACTTTGAATCATTCAGAACCTACCGGTAGAGGGCCAAACCTGCTCCAAAAAAAATTCAAGAAAAGTTGGACTCTCACACCACAATTCCTTGGTTTTTCCGGTAACAATGTCGACTACCACGACTACAACAACCACACGGACCGATCCGTTGATATTGCAAACAGGAGATGTACAACTACCCAAACCCCAATACTTTCGCCTGAAACAGGTGGTAGTAATGCTACAGCTTTGTGCTGTCACGCTCACAGCTTGTTTGATCAATGGGTTGGTGATTGTCGGTCTACCAACCATCACTAAGGATCTTCAGCTACCATCTTCTCTATCCTTTTGGCCATCGTCAGTGAGCAATCTTGCTACTGCATCTACACTTCTGCTGGCTGGGTCCATTGCCGATACTGTTGGTCCACGATGGGTTGAGCTTGTCGGATGTCTAGCTAGCGGAGCGTTAATGCTCGGTCAAGGGCTGTCTCGGACGGGAGAAGAGTTGGTTGTTATGAGGGCACTGCAGGGTGTTGGTCTCGCGTTGCATTTGGCGTCTTCCGTTTCCATTATCACGCAAATCCTACCCCAAGGCAGAGGCCGTAATCTGGCTTTCTCGTGCATTGGTCTCAGTCAGCCGCTTGGCTTCTCGCTTGGACTAGTCGTTGGTGGTATTCTTATTGACACTATCGGTTGGCGGGCGGGATGGTACATAGCCGGAGGAATAACGTTGTTCTTCTCGCTAATCGGCATGTGGGCTTTGCCCAAGAGCGACGATCATCAATATGCCGATGTTATGCAAAATTTCAGGACCAAGGTCGATTGGGTCGGTGCTGGGTTGGCTTCTGCATTCATGGCTTTGATTTGCTATTTACTAGCGTGAGTATTGACCTTGAAGACAACATCTTCTGAGGCTAATCAGGAAGCAGCGTCTTGAGCGCTGATCCCTCGCGGATCAAAACTGCTGAGGCCATTGTTATTCTGTGTCTTGCTGTAGCTGCGCTTCCGTCTTTCGTTGCTTGGTCTCATTACCGGGTCAAAGGGGGTAGGCCAGCGCTGATCCCGAATGCGCTTTGGAAGAACGCGTCTTTCTCGAGCATCTGTGCTACAATCGCGCTGTCGAATGCAGTGATCAACTCCATGGAGCTGTTTGCTGCCTTGTTGTGAGTAGTCTTCCCCCTGTCCTTCCATTATTTCTGCTATCCACTGACCCTATTACAGCTTCCAAGAAGTCCAATATCTGTCCGCTCTACAAGCATCCATCCGCATCCTCCCCAGCCTTGTAGTAGGCGTACTCCTGAACATCGTGATTGGATTCGTCGTCCATCGAGTTCCCGCCTTTTGGATCGTTACCGTCACCTCCATCCTCTGCGCCGGCTCACCATTACTCATGGCCGTTATCCAACCCTCATGGCCATACTGGGGCAACGCCTTTGTCGCCCAGTTATTGCAGCCCGTTAGCTTCAACGCACTTTTCACTATCGGTCTGATTGTGATCACAGATGTCTTCCCGAGCAACACTCAAGCTTTGGCAGGCGCGGTGTTCAACACATCTGCGCAATTTGGCGGGGCCCTGGGAATGGCTGTGTTGCAGGTTGTTTCTACTATCATCACGGATCAGTCTGATAGAGAGAAGGAGACGGAAGCGCTGATGGATGGGTATCGGGCTAGTTTCTGGACCATGTTTGGGTTTATGATTCTATGTACGGTTGTTGGGTATTTGGGGCTGCGGAGGGCTGGTAGGGTGGGATTGAAACAGGATTAATTCGATGGATACGGAGGCAGAAGAGGTGTTTTTGGGCGTTTCTACTCATCTGAAAATAAAAGGGGAAAGATCCATAACCCAATACTCTGTATATTTCTTAGATACCCTGCCTCTTGGCTGACAAAAAAAAGGCAAACCTCCTAAGAGCTAGCAACAACATCCCCCTTAAGCAGAATCGGCTGCGCAGTGGTAAAGTTCGAAATATCCCCAAAGATAGCCTTTGCCGCTTCACCAGCAGCCGCGGTATTGAAATCGTCCAAGCTCTTCCATCTCAAAGTAGCCTGCACCTGGTACGGCGCATCGGCGGGGAACGTAAGGACATCCCAGCCTAGAAGACCGGAGGATCCCCAGGTGCTGTTCGGTGTCAGTTGTGGTCTTTAGGTATTCCGGGGGTATCCTTATAAAGGGAACGTACGAGGAGACGAGGGGCATGTGGGTCTTGAGATAGTAGTCGAGGTCGAAGGAAGGACCGGAAGGGTAGACAACTAGGACTTGGGCCATTGTGACGGTGCTGATGTTGGTGTAGTTAATGATAGAGAGATGTAGTGGGGAAATGAGACCCTTTTATCTCTGTATCCTACGGGATTTTTCCTTATAAATCACCGCCGGGTTTAACGTGTCCAACCGCTATCCCCGCCGTGGGGCTTGCCTCCCTTCTCAGCGCTGTGTTGCAGACGCAACCTAATGCTTGATTGACTCTGGTATTTTAGATACCCATCGTCGCTTTGAACAATCCCTGCTTCGGCTACTACCTGGAGTTCAACAATCTTACTTCCAGGATACTCTGTAATCTCGTTTCTATTCATCTTCACTGATCAAGATACAATACCCCTCCCCCCCTTAACTTCGAGATATATATCTGTTTATACTCCGTACTCTATAGTTACACCCAACCATAATGGTCACTAAAACTATAGCGAATTGGACTTCCTCCCTGGCCTACTCCTCTCTACCACCATCCACAACCCGGTCCGCCATCCAATCTTTCTACAACTGGACCGGCTGCACCGTTGGCGGCAACGCTCACCCCGCAACCACCATCGCCCGCAACGCGCTAGCCCCGTTCTTCGGCGCTCCGACATCGATGCTTCTTGGTTCTCATCAACACCAGAAAACAGATGCGCAGCATGCAGCCCTACTCAATGGAATCGCATCACATGTACATGACTATGATGATACGCACTTAGAAACAATCATACATCCAACGGGCCCTGTCGCAGCGGCGCTTCTGGGTATTACGGAGACGCTACAGAGGCCAGTCTCGGGGGAGGAGTTTATCACTGCTTTAGTTACGGGCATTGAAGTTGAGTGTAAATGTGGACTGGCCGTGTGGCCGAGTCATTACGATTTTGGATGGTGAACTTCCTTCCCCTACAAACGAAAGGAAACTTTGTTGCTAAGGCGAATGAAAGGCACATAACAAGCACCACCGGCTCCATTGGCGCCGCTGTAGCTGTGTCTAAGCTCCTGGACCTGTCCCCCGACCAAAGTGCCCATGCGATTGGTATCGCAGCAACACAAGTAATAGGCCTTAGAGAGATGTTCGGCTCACATACCAAGTCCTTTCATCCGGGCCGTGCAGCGCAAAATGGCCTCATGGCTGCTATTCTTGCATCGAACGGGTACACGAGTTCTTTGGAAGCACTCGAGGCGAAACGCGGGTGGGTGAATGTCGTCAGCGACGACAACAAGCTCGAGGATTTAGTGGCTAGTCTGGGGAAGGAGGGTGCTTGGGAGATTGAGAAGAACAGCTTCAAGCCGTTTCCATGTGGGATTGTGATTCATCCTGTTATTGATGGGTGTATTCAATTGCATGGTGTGATTGACGACTGTGGGAAGAGAAATGAGGATATCACAGATGTTCAGCTCACAGTGCACCCGCTTGTCCTCGAGTTGACAGGGAAGACGAAACCCCGGGATGGACTGGAGGCCAAGTTTAGCGTTTACCATGGCGCAGCGATTGGCTTACTCCTTGGTCAAGCCACACCGGGTCAGTATGAAGATGCCGTCGTGACAGATGCCGAGGTTATCAGCCTCAGGGACAAGATTCATGCCACAGCAGATGAGAAGTGTCGTCCGGATGAGTGTCACATTGCGGTTAATTTTGCTTCTGCTAGTGGGACGTCCGCGCCTATTGAGAAACATGTGGACCATGCCGTTGGGAGTGTACATTGTCCGATGTCAGTCAGTCAGCTTACAGAGAAGTTCATGATACAGTGTGTGCCGGTTCTGGGCTTGGAAAGGACCCAGAAAGTCAGTGAGTGGTGTTGGGCTTTAGACAGACATGAGGATATCCGTGGGATAAAGGAGTTCTTCTAACTATTGGGATAATTAACTGTCATGAGTTACAAATCGTATGTTCCCTCTAAAGTCTCATTGACGGTTACCTTTCCCTCGTCCTATTTGTGGTTGTGTACCTTGTATTACACGGGGAGATTGATTACCGTTGCACAAAATGTCGTAACTGGGATTCCATAGCGCGATCATCCAGCGCGCCATGGAAGTCAGTTGTACTGATCTAAAAGCTGGCGCAATAGTTGTAGAACAATCGTCTATTGGCCATTCTAGTATTAGCTAAAGATATCTCTAGACCTGTATCTCAATATAAACCACGTGTGCTACGCTAACGATAAAGTCAGAATATAATCAGTAGTAGTATTATCATATTGCAGACAATCAATGCACCCGTGAACCCAGAAGTCGTAAATCAACAAAAGCAAAAACATAAAAGCATAACCTGCGCCTGCGAATTGGTCTCAATCTACCATTCCATATATCACATTACTGGCTGCCCCAGGCAGCGCATTTAAGCAACGAAAGCACCCTTGATCTCGCTGTAGATGGCGCCGAGCTCCTCGGTGAGCTTCTCAGCCTTGCCGACCATTTTGTCAAGAGTAACCTCAGCAGAGGCATGCTTGGAAGAAGTGTCGTAGCCACCCTCCTCGACGATGTCGTTGTAGTTAGTGGCACCGCCACCGTTCCAGGCAAGGAGCTGTAAACACAGTTAGCATGTTCTCTTTTTCTTTCCCTTAAAGGCGGACTTACGTTAGGAGTGTCGGATGGGATGTCATCGAGAGCTCCCTTGGTGGCAATGCTGATGATGTCCTTCTTGAGCTTCTCAGGAGTGATGTCGGCAACAGCGAATGCAGAGTCCTTGGAAGGCTGAAGAGAGACGAAGTAGGCCAACAGACCAGCAATGTGAGGCGAGGCCATAGATGTACCCGAGATGGTGTTGACGGCGTGCTTGCTGCCTGTCCAGGTGGACAGGATGTTCAGACCAGGGGCGAAGATGTCAGTGCACTTGCCGTAGTTGGAGAAGTAGGCACGCTCGTCAGCAAGAGTCGAGGCGCCAACAGTCACGGCCTTCTCGGAAGCAGCCGGGGAGTAGCCACAGGCGTCAGCATTGTCATTACCAGCAGCAACAGCAAAGTGAACACCAGCCTCAACACCAGCATCGACAGCAATCTCCAAGGTCCTGGACTTGCCACCGCCAAGACTCATGTTGGCAACGCTACCCTTGAAGCCCTTGGCCTTGCCATCCTTGGCAGCCTTGACCTTCTTGGTGTGAGACTCAACGGCCCATTCAACACCCTTGATGACATCGGACATGGTACCAGAGCCAGAAGATCTGAGGACCTTAACAGCGTAGATGTTGGCCTTCTTGGCGACACCGTACTTCTTGCCAACCATAGTTCCGGAGCAGTGGGTTCCGTGTCCATTGCCATCCTCATCCTCATCGTTGTTAGGGATGGTCTTGCCCCAGTGAGCACGACCCTCGAAGTCGACGTGGTCAACGTTGATACCAGTGTCAATGGTGTAAGCATCAACGCCCTCGCCGCCCTCGCCAGCATACAAGTACTTGTTGAAGGTGCCGAAGGAGAGGCTGTCCCGGTGGGAGATACGAGCGAGACCCCAGGGAGCACTCTTCTCAACCTCATTCTCTTCCATCATCTGGAAGTCACCCATGGTGTGGACTTCGGAGTCTTTTTCGATGAACTCGACCTGAATAAAGCATAATGAATCAGTAAAATGCCAAGACCAGGGACGCCAGTTAGGAGCTCCTGAGGAAAAGCTAGTTACTCACATCCGGGTGTCTGCGGACTTGCTCAATCACATCCTCGTGGAAGTGACCAGCGTAACCCGAAAGCGAATCACCAACGCTGAAGGTATGCTTCAGACCAAGGTAATCGGGTTCAGAGAAGCCAAAGAGCGACCGCTTCTTCAGCTCAGTGCGCTCATTCTGAGAAGCGTGGATGTCCTGCACCCAGCTTTGATGAACAGAAGCGGAGCTGGAGTCAACGTGCTTCTTGAAAACGACGATGTACGAGTCGGGGACCTCTTGAGAGTTCATAGACGAGAGAACGGGGGCAGCTCCATTGTGAATAGAGTCAACGAAGACAGGGGAGGCAGCCGTAAGCAACGGGAGCAATGAAAGGCTGAAGATGCCCTTCATGGTGATAACTGGGCGAAAAAGACGTTTGTTCAAGAGAAAAGGATAAAAGAATGATACAGTAGAGACAGTTGAAAGATGGGAGAAGTAGAGAGAGGGAAGAGAGCGATATAAAAGGGGATGGATAAGTAAGAGAGGGAGGTTGGAGAAGGTCGGAATGGCAGATGAGGAGAGAAAGACATGATGCAACCGGATTACGGTAACTTACAGCAGGTGACCGCCTGACCTGGCTTGATTGGCGCTGGCTGTCGATCCCGATAGGCTAGTGGAGAGGAAGGACCTGGGGTAAATATGGTAAATATGGTACTGTTTGGTAATGATACACGATTCGCAATACCGCCGGGTGCTTCATCATTAGGCGGACAACTGGATGATGCGGACAAACAGCTATGGGTTATCAGTCGCTCATCCCCAACAATAGCTGCATTCACCTCGTACACGTAGCTACAAGGCCTAAATCTGTACTATGTACCTGGCATACATAACGCTGCACAAGGTACTTCCAGTAATGACTGCCAGGTGTACTTCGTACACCGTACATCGATGACGGTATTGTATCACATTCACCCATCCGAGTCGCGTGCTTTGGCTCACCTCCGGCTGACTACACCTAATAAGGAATGAGATCGACATGCCGGTATTGTCATTTATGTCACACTATGACAGTACCATTACCATCAGCACGTAAGATAAGCGCTTATCGATACCCGCCTTGGCCAATTAGCACCGCCGGCATCACCTGATAGCGCGGCGGCTCTGTCTGGACAAGGCTTTTCCCCTCCGCCTGAGCGCAGCAGCAGTACATAGTGAAGCTGGGACACTTCACTATATCTGAGCGTGGGAGTGATATTGCTTTTAAAATAGAATACATACCTCAATCGTGAGTTCATGTGGGATATTGCTTGTCGAATACTACTAGTCCTTCCTGCAAGAATATCGTCACTAACGGGGTTCCCCATGTTCCGCCAGTTCCCCCTCACAAAACGGTGCGGCCAGAACTCGTCACCTGCGCGCAATTTCACGTCTCGCTGTCGATGTTGATCCTTTGACCAGTTGTTCCTCGTCCAAGACCAAAACAATCTCCATTCCAACTGACATGGCGGCCAAAGCTCGCTAATAGTAGTCGGCTCACCGCATACCAATGCAGACCGCCTTCATCATAACGCCCACTCGAGGTTCATGGTTGGTATCCAGCCATCGGAAGAGGTAGCCGGGGTTAACATTTGGCGGCGCAATGAACCAGGCCACCTCCCTCCCTTCGCCGTCTTCTTCGTCGTCAATCGAACGACTCAATCTTGAGCTGTCTCCTGTGATTGAGGAGTTGAGGAACATCTGCGAGGAGGATCCGATCTCTCCGCAACTCGCCCTGACAGCAACGGAAAGCTTGCTCCGGCTGCGTCATACCTTTATCGATAACGATCGCCCGAAGGAAGCGAAAGATTCCTTTCGACATCAGAATGGTTTCCAATTGCTGTTGGTCCTCATTGGCAAACTTGCGGATATTTATGATGCAGAACTACCTAGAGACGAGAAGAAGAGTCTGTTGACTCTACACAAGGATGCGTTGGGAGTCCTGGCGGAGGGCTTGAAGGAGCATTTCGGGAATAAACGATACTTTACAAAGAAGATTACCGGTGGGGGCAAGACGGTGCTGGAAGAATCTTTGTTAACACTGGCCACCAAATTGGGCAGTGCGGAGGCCGAGACACAGCAGTTCTATGGTGGAATTCTGGCAGCAGCACTCTGCCAGGAAACGGTAGCTGGTCTGTTCACAGCTTTGGCCGCGAGGTCTCAACAGAATGGGGACCCCATATCTCCTGATGAAGTCCGACAATCTGTGGACAGGGGTATGGGAACATCGGAGACCGTGGAAGTCTCCGAGTTTCTTGGGCCTTTCCTCCGCGTGTGGCTGGCACAATCCTCACTCAACCACGGACAACACAAAGCCCAGAGACTCGCAGTTCCTGCCTGCCTCTGCCAGCTTGCATCGCAGTCAGAAAGAAATGTTGTAGCCCTACATGCTACTGGGATGCTAACCTCCATCTTACCATTGTTGTTCAGCAATGACTGTCCTGAAGACGAGAAACTATTATACCAAGAACTTGCTCGACTACTCTGTTCCCAAGGTTTAAGTAGCTTGGACGATGCTGTTGCCCTCTACCGCAACGCGCACGGTAGCTCTGACATCCTGCGATTCCTACTCGACGTGTTGAAACGATCTAAGCAACCCCCATCCATCCATTTTGATTTGTCATTACACGGGTACTGCTCCGTGGAGTTTTCTAGTCTAGGTCGTACATTCCCACCAGCGACCTCTGCGGGCTACACTTTATCAGCATGGGTTCGGTTTGACCGGTTTGATACTAGTACGCATACAACCATATTTGGGGCCTTTGACGCGAGCCAGACATGCTTTCTTCTTATGTACCTTGAAAAGGACACCCGCCATTTGATATTGCAAACTTCCATAAGCGGCCCTCGTCCCAGTGTCCGATTTAAGTCTATATCTTTCCAACCTAATCGATGGTACCATATCGCTCTCGTCCATAAGAAGCCCAGACCGCCATCTTACTCTCGAGCTTCGCTATTCATAGACGGCGAATTTGTCGAACAATTGAAGATAGAGTATCCAAATGTTCCGGTGACCAGTGTTCCGAACAAGATACCCCGGGTCCAAGCATTCTTTGGGACTCCGCAGGATTTAGCGATGAGATTGGGAAAGGGCGTGTCGACCTCCCGATGGTCACTAGCAGGTGCAATACTGTTAGACGAGGCATATAGCGATGACATGATTTCTGTTTTCTATAACCTTGGTCCTCGATATTATGGCAACTTCCAGGACTGCATGGGGTCGTTTCAGACTTACCGAGCATCTGCGGCTTTGAACGTGCGAAATGAACATCTGCACCCTGGCAAAGAAGAACTTTCTGATATCGTCACGGCGATTCGACGAAAAGCAAGTGCGCTAGTTCACGAGGGGTCAATTTTGGTCAATGTCTCCCCAGTCGCTAT